TTTTTTTTTTGTATTTTAAACCATACAATTGTGTGTGAAAATAATACCTGGGCGAGAGTGAGTCAGCTCCACCAAAAACCAGGCCCAATCTTCTCATAATGCAGATTGCAACTGTATATTTTAAACAAATATTCCTCATTTGTGGATTCCTGAATGATAAGTTTGGGGAAATGTTTGCTAACATAAAATATTCTGCAAATTTTAGTTTTCCATGACTATGTATAAACAGTTACATGAAATTGATGTGTGGTTCCTTACACAGTGTTATTTAAAATAAGTATTGAAAATAATGCATAGATTCACATTTATTCAAACATAATTTAATCTAAAAATTTAAGGAGAAAGAATGAAGAAGTAGATCATGGTAAAGAATTAATTATCAGTTATTAGTTTGTGATAAATTATGTGGGAACTTGAAACAGAATTGTAAAAAAAAATTATAAAATTGGGGAAAATAACTTTGAAACCATTCTCAGTGACTGGAAATATTTATGTTGAAAGATAAACATATCTTGTATTTATTAGGATGCAATTTACTATGGCATCTTGTTAAAAAAAAAACTCATCTGATTTTGTATTTTCTGATTGAAAGTGAAAGTGGTTTAACTTCTACGTAAGTATTAGCAAATGTGGCATTGCTCTTCCATTAGGATTAGCTGTCAGCCATTAGCTGAATTACTAGAAATGTCAAAGCCCTACTCTAAGCAAGTCCCAAAGATGATATCAGAAGTTACTATCAGGTTCTATGCAGGTATGTAGAACCAGAAAACTTTACACAAAGGCAAAACCTAGATTGGGCGTAAAGCAGATAAAAGGGTTACATTAAGTTTTTAGTGAATTTATTATGACCTAACTTGTTTCATTTAATGAAGTGTTCTAAAGTTTTTACTCTCACTTATCTAAGCCTGGCTACTTAAGAAAGAAAAACCTAAGGTGACTTTGGTTGTCTCTGAAATTCAGGAAGAATTTCTAAGAAAAAAAAATGTTATTTCTATTTATGTCTTTTCAATTTGAAATTCAGTATCTGCTTAAAATATTCAGCATGTAACTGAAAAAGGAAATATCATTCAAGTATATTAAGCTTTGTGTATGCATATAGATGTAAAACTGTCATATCAATTTATATGTCTACATGTATAATAACAAACATATCAAGTACTTGTATATATGTTAGCATAGATTTTCCATGGCTAATTTTTATTCAACAAATATTTGCGGAGTACTTAGAATTTTTAAAATATTCGGATAGGAGCAGAAAGGAAATCATAGGTGAATAAAACAAACAAACAAAAAACTACGTGTTTGGTTTTCTAGTAGAGAAGACTGGCACTTACTTAAGAAATGAGATGATAGTTAAGGCAGTGGGGAGAAAAGGAAGAACAGTATATAAAATGACAAGACTAGAACCGAAGTTGCAAGGGATGTTCCTAAAATCCTAACTCAGCAGATCCGTTGCAGTTCAACAATTCCATTAGGTCTGGTAAAGATAAAATGGAGAGCTTTTGCCTAAATCTTAATTAGGGAGACCATTACTCAGACAGAAGGGAATGCAATATCATAGTCATGTGGCTAGGCAAAGGATAAAGGTCTTTCTTTCTTTTTTTTTTTTTTTTTTTTGGTACCAGGGATTGAACTCAGGGGCATTCAACCACTGAGCCACATCCCTAGCCATATTTTGTATTTTGTTTAGAGACAGGGTCTCACTGAGTTGCTTAGTGCCTCACTTCTGCTGAGGCTGGCTTTGAACTGGTGGTCCTCCTGCCTCAGTCTCCCGAGCACAAGGATTACAGGCACAGGGATTACCACTATGCCCAGCAGGATCAATGTTTTTGAAGGGACATTTTTCTAGTATCTATCAATTGCTAAGATTTGTACAATTTTTGACACGAAAAGACACAACTAGGAACTGCTTCTCACCTCACCAAACAGAAAAAAAATGACATATTTTTCCTCCTGAGAATACGTAGAAGAACTTCTTAATACAATAAAATTAGAAACTACCTAGACTTTCCAAGAAAGGAAAGCAATATTTTTTAAAAATATATTTACTAATTTTAAAAAGCTGTTCACTATTTGTTAAATTGTACAAGAACATTTTGAGCTTCTCAGTATGATTTAAAGATAGAGGCCTTTAAAAAAAATTTAAACAGAAGTACTACCAATAGATTTTTTTCATTGTTGCTGGATATCAGCACATATACATACATATAAATCACATATAGATGTGGTTATCATCTCATACACAGTATTTCACAAGGTGCAACTCTTCTCAAACTCAGTTGGATCCATAAAGAGGTGAGCTCAAACTCAAACCATAGCTGCACAGAGCATTTATGTTACTAATCATGGTTGCTATCTCATGCCTCTAACACAAGTATGTGGAGGATATGAGAATCCTCTCTAAATTCAAACCCAATTCCCACTGTGGTGAGCTGACTATTTAGAGCTAAGCACTTAGGAAGAAAGTAGCCTTAGGTAAGCACTATGTCACATCTCTTGTTTAGATTGTTAGAATTTCCAGGAACTGAATAAACTCTGATTGAAGTTGTGACTCACCTTTTCTATTCTCCTAAACCAAACAAAGATCTCTCTTGAGAGTTTTTCCTTCAATTTTGAACTTTTTTTTTGTCTCCAAAGATTTGCTTTCCTCTTGGTGGTTTCTAAAAACGCCTCAGTCTTTGAGTTGCTTCATTGAAGTGTAGAATATAAAACAGCAACTCTAAGCCACATCATGGATGACTGCATTATTTTATATGGCCTCAAATGGTAATAGGCAAAGTATTTTCTTGTTTTTTTTGTTTTGTTTTTTTTTTTTTGATGCATGTTTCTATAGTCTTAGAGTCTTTCTTTGGCAAACTCACTTTTTCGTACAAACAATGCTTTGGTTTTCATTCTACTACAGATTTGACTTTCCTTGAATATCATCAATTCCTTCCTACATGCTGAAAAAATATATGTTTATCTGGCATAGGTATAAAACAGTGTCAAAAGAAAATGTCTTGTGCAGTTGATAAGTTGTCACTTAATAGTTATTTATGTACTTCCAATGCCTATCTAAACACGTTTAATTTAATAACATGGCTGACCTTTAAGTTCCTATGGCAGAAAAGCATTAACATGCAGATTCGACACTAAATTATCAATGGAATTAGCAGTACATTTTCTCCCCTTTATTATTTTGAGCTTTATTAAGACACTCAATGCCATTGATTGGTAAAGTAGGATATCTCTGATCTAACATCAAAGCAAGGTGTTTGCTATTACTATTAAAAATGTTCTTCTACAGCTTTCTAAAGTGATACATTCAGAAAAAAAAAATTTTCAGTAGCTCCTGAACATGGCTAACACTTTTTCTTTTATATGATTTTCCTCAACCAAAGTATTCTTGTTTTATATAGGACAGAAAGGATACGATTCAAGGGAATGAGAGCAGCCAGTAGAGACAGACAAAAGTCAGCATCAGTTCCTTCCAAAATCAATGGGAACTCAACTGGCTCCTTACATTTAATCCAATTTCCTTTGTGCCTTTTCCCCTCTAGGTAGGAGTCTTTAATAATGCATTTAAAACAGGACAACATCTTTATCAAATAATTGCTACTAATTGGAAGGTCCTTGGTATGCATAGTTTTCCAATTCTCCCCTTCAATAATTTCTTCAAGTTGGTCATTTAGGTAACCCCATTAGCAGCATAGCTGAGAATTCACAGTTAGGAGTCTTGTTCAGCCAAATTAATTAAGTATCATTTTCCTTCTGGGAGGAAATTAGCTGTTTAGATAAATATATTAATTGAGTGTTTGTTTCTGTTTATTGTAATCATACTCAGGATCCCTTGGCACTGTTATACCTTATTCCAAAAAAGCTCTTTTAAATATTTCAGGTTTTTCCATCAGTTTTTGAAAACACTTATAATTTTCTCATGTACGAAAAATCATTCCCAATACATTTCTCCAAATTTGCTAAAGAATTACCTGCTTTCTATCACTTCCTGTTTGCAAGTAATTTGGGGTGACTACTGGAATCAAGGTGGTTCTCTATGCAGCCATTTGTTTAAAGCAGAAGTTGTTTTAATATCTTCATTCCTTAAAGTCTGGTGATGAGAATTACTGAGAGGACTGCACAATGTTGGCCACAAGAGAGGCCATGTCACAGGCATTTCTCCACAGATGAAGGATGCACAAACATGAATATGGCATGTCCCTTTCCCACAATAGAAATAAACCACAAATAACCCAAAATAGATGTGCAAAGTGCATTAAGAGGGGGGAAAATGTTTCACAAGAGCACTGCAAACATAAATCTGGACAGGTATATGAGAGGGAGAATGTGGTAACTGTACTAAAAATATAACAAAGTGTGAGAAATTTAATGACATATGGAAGAAATGGCAAAAATCTACTTTGACTAAAATGCCTGCCCTGGGCAGCTTCTAAAACCAATAAAGATGAAGACTGCATTTGATCCTAGACCCTTGAAAACTTTCAGTTGGAAACTGGATATTTGAGTTTTAGCATGCAATGGGAGTCTTAGAAGGTGTGTGAGTTCACATCATTGATTTGGGAGACCATCTAAATAACATTCTAATTTGGTTTGGACAAAACCGAGAGAGAATTTCCCAAATGGCCATATTTTCTTCACTTACATCCTTTATTCATTGTGTCATCAAAACATTAAAAAAATAAAAAAAAATTAAGGTCTGAGGTTGTAGCTCAGTGTTGTAGTGCTTGCTTAGCATGTGTTAGGCTCTGGGTTCAATCCTCAGCACCACATAACAATACATAAATAAAATAAAGGTATTAAAAAGAACACTATTTTTAAAAACATTTAATAGAGGACTGTACTGTATTATTATGGAGTCTGTTGCCTAATCTGATATACCTTCTTTAGCTCCACGGAATGAATCAGAAATAATATTATTACTTGCAATCCATGATGATCCATGATGAATAAGACATGATATTATTATTTGCTATTAAGAAGACAGCATCAGAAAGTGCCTAAATAATACTATACTTTCAGGGATCATTTTTATAGGATGTTACTAGAGATGTTTCTCTGATTGAGTAGATTACTGGAAACTGCGAGGAGAAGTTGAGTGTTCTCTCCTGAGCATGAAGCTGGTTCTAGGTGTTGCGTTACTGCAACTGCCTTTTGCCATTGATGATCATTCTTAATTCTCTTCAGAGATTAAGAGGGAGAGAACACAGTCTGAGTGGTTTCCAATATTAAAAAAAAAAAAAAAGGAAATGCCTAAATAACTGTAGAATGGGTTTCAAAAGAAGTTGAAAATCAGGGAAAGATTCACAAAATGTTAGTCTGAGCATTTAGACCCAATTAAGTGATGTTTTTATCAGAATTATTTCACAATTCATCTTACGGAGAAATAAACACAATATATAAAGAAACCATTTTATTTGGGGGATGCTAGATTAATCTGGTACCCCAAAGCACCTGCCAAAATCCTTCAAAAATTCCTATTTTAAGTGAGTAGCATGGGATTATTTTATTGTACTTCAGCTGCAATATAGTTATCTATTTGAACACAATTTTTGATGAGCAATGAAAGGAGTGGCTCACCAATGTGTTTATTTTCCAATATCTTGGTTTATTAGCTTTATCAGATCACCTTTTTCCATACAAGCAATTTGAGACAAGAAGAAATTCAAATTTTGATAACATTAAGATGACAAATCATAATGTGGACCAGTGAGGCAGAATCAGAAAGATGATACAGCCAGTGAGCCTGAAAGAACACTGAAAAGCATGAAGGTAGCAGAATACTAATCAGAGACCAGGTGTATGAAATCTAGGGGCAAATGTCATTCATGGAAGAGGAAAGAAGGAGGTGCTGGTGATAAAACTCAACATCTCACAGTTTTGCTCACCGCGGGTGCTACTCAGGACTGACACTACATGTATACCAGCTCTTCTGACTGGTCAGTGTCCATGGGAGTATCTATTATTAATAAAGATGCTGCTTCTACTTGAAACCCATGTAGCATCTGCGGTTCATGTTGTACCTCCTGTTAAATATCCTGATTTTTCTGCTTTGAATTTTTCATTTGATTTGAGGAAATTATAAAGTAAATTTTTCTACAGTAACAAGCTTTAGCTCCCTTATATAACCAACACTTTTTATTATTTTTTTTTTTCCTGGAGTCTAGCTCATTTTCCCATTTCACAGTTCATTGAAGCCATTTGTGGTCACTGAGTCTTATCAATCTTATTCTGGACTGACTTTGTGACTCTCACACATCTCAAGTAGAAGATAGGGATAAGCAGAATCTAGGAACATAGGTCTCACATTGGATTGGCATGTGACATCCGAAGGCAGATTTCACAAAAATGAATGAGACAGCTTGGGAAGTGATAAATATGATGAATATAGCACATTCTGTGACCTTGCAAAGAAAATATTCACAGATTTTGTGTGTGTGTGTGTGAGGGGCTTGGGGAGCACACAAATAATGTTGCTGTAACATTTTCAGAAAGTTATATTCTGAATAAATTAATACATATCAGCATCATTTAAAATATTTTTGGTTTCATGTGTGTGCTTGTTTGAAGTTCATTTTTTCCCAAACTAATACCCTGCTCCCTCCTATCTTTCTAGACCTTTACCTCCATCTCTGTTAGAAGTGTCTTTTTCTCCTTTCATCTCTCCGATTTGTGTAATTTCTGACAGCATCTCTTTGGTTTTGTGTTTTATGTTTAGTGCTTATTTGAGGCATTTAATCTTCAAAGCTCCTAGAGAACATTACCTAATTAATCCTCCCTACAGTCTTGTAAGGAAAGTCATTATTAGAACTTCTACTTTTTACATGTGAGAAAAATAAGGCAAAGGTTAAATGGCTTACCAAAAATCACATACAGAGTGAGTTGTAGCCTGTTTTGAGATTTTTATGCTCAATTCACTCAATCACATTGCTTGCTGTTTCTCTCTCTTAATAGCTTCCCTCTAGTGTTCTGCAGTATTTCTTTCCCTTAATATTATAAATTTCATTTCTTCATATTTTATTCTCTCACAATGAACAGTGAATTTTCTCCCATTTATTTGTAGTTTTTTAAAAATTAATTATATATTTCCTATTTCCACAATGCCAGATTTAGTATTTTTGTGTTTATTTTAAATTGTAAAATTTAAAATTTTAATAAAAAGTTTGCAATGTTTGTCACATTTTTAACCTTCCTTTTTAAATTTTTTAATTTCCTTGTTTTTTTTCAAAATTGTAATTCATTTTCAATACTTGCTCTTACGTTTGTTCTATGTAAGTTGGTCAAATAAATTAATGCCTCTGATCTATGCTATCTTTTTCGTTGTATCAAAAAAGTAGAACATATATTTCACTGAACTGCTGTAAGGATGAAATAGGTACCACATATAAAGGGTCTCACTAGCACCTGCATAAAATTGTTTCAAATCTTTCTTCCAATTTTAATGTCCTTTATCTTAAGGCTAATATCTAAAATGCAGTTTCATATGTTTAAGAAATTATAACTGGTTTGTGGCTCAGGATATGGGACATGTCTATCATCCCTGAAGGTTTCCCAGGGACAGTTTGAAGTTGTTTTCAACCCAGAGGCACCACTGTTCTCATGATCTGATTATAGTTATTCAAGTATTTCATGTAAATACAATAATTAAGTGTATATGTTCTTTCATATATCTTCCTTTTACTCATCATGTATTTTGAGGACCATCACTGTTGTTGGATGTTTTTGACCATTTGTGCTTCTGATTTTCCTATTAATGGACAATAAGCTTGCTCTGATTTGGAGCTGTTTTCAGTAAGATTTTTATGTCCATTATGATGAAAACCCTTTTCAAGCAAATATTTTATCCATATTTTGAAAATACCTGGGAATGGAATTGCTAAGCCATAAGGTATATGTTTCTCTTTGTAAGATGTTGCAAATCAGTTTTCCAGAGTGGTTATTCCATTGTATTTGACCTCCAGGAATGTATGAAAGTTTTGTGGTTCAATGCCCTTACCAAATCTTGGTAATGACAGTATTTTAAATGTAAGTCATTCCATGTTGTATACAGTGATATTTCATTTTTTAAAGTTTTCCTAATGACTAATGATGTTGAGCATCAATTTGCCCAATTATTTTTCTAGAAGAGTATTTTTATTTCATTCTTTAATGGATTTTTATTATATTTTGATATTATAATAATTATAAATTAAAATTATTCATTTAATTTTATAATTTTAACTTTACAGAAGTTATCACAGTAGAGATTGTTTTAGCAAAAGCAGGAAAAACATATGGCTAACTCACCTATTTAAATTCTTAGTATTCTCAATATAAACTTTGCAAGAATGATCAATTGTCTGCTTTACAATAAAACAATAATTGGATATTTCTCCTTAGGAAAGTTTCTGAAGAAAATAAGAAATAAAGCTGGAAAAATTATAACAGAACAGTGATGATCTTGAAAGTCATTGAGGAGGTTGGAGGGCAAGGCATATCAGAAATGGAAGAATGATATTTGGTGTAAGAATAAATGGATTAAGTAATTTTAGGAGAAATTATGTGGAGAATCAAAATTTTGATGGATTCATTAGTGTGTGTGTGTTGCATCTCAAGTAGATGTCAGAGATGAAGAGAGCAAAGAAGAAAAGGAACCATTAAAATATGGCTCAAATTTTTCCCAAGGAAAAAATCATCTTCTCCCACTTCTTATTACCTTGCACATTGTTTTCTGGGGATAGCAGATACTCAAAATAAATAACTACGATTTTACTAGCTGTGACTACAAAATAAAATACTCTTCAGATGTTCTTCTGTAACATGGCTACTTCAACCTTCCTTCCTACCTGTCATTTATCAACCACTCACTTTAGAAAATACTGAAATATGAGGATTTAAAAACAGGATAAAAGTATATGTGTCTAAGAGAAAAGTTTGGCACTTGGTATATAGCCAATTGCATTTAGGTTTTCAGCCTGATAGCAGCATAGATGACTAAGCTGCCAATTTTAGGTAGCTAAACTACTGAACCAAGTCAGCAATTGGTGATATTATTGATTTCTTAATTAGTAGCCTTAAAATAGGGACAACAATAAAATGTCCATAAACCAATTAGTCTTTTTATTCTGTAATTTCAGAAGTACACACCATACTAGCTATCTGCTTGCTGCAGAAGTAGATGAAAGAGAGAGAGAGAAAGAGAATAAAATGAAAAAAAATTCTTGCAATAGCTACTGTTCTCCTTTAGTAACTATATTTAGTTTCTCACAATTAGTGATATAAAAATGATTGATTCTCTAACATTCTTGAGTAATTATGTTAGTCAAGAAACTGCTATAATTGGATTGACAATAAAAAACTGACATAATCCATGCTTACAGGTTCAGCTATGGGGTGTGTGTGTGTGTGTGTGTGTGTGTGTGTGTGTGTGTGTGTGTGTGTTCTATAATAGTAAATGTATGCTAACCTAGAGCAAAAGCTTTGGGAAATTGTGGTCATAAAAGGAAACAATTCTGTTGTTAGTTGAGATCAAAATGTTAGTTAAATAGTCGATAGTACATTGTCTTAGTTCAAGTTCCCAAGAAGAAAACTATGTGATAGAGGTGAACTTGCAAGTGATTTATAAAGAAAGTACTCTCAGGAGAAACCAATACAGTAGTGCGAGAAGAAAGAAAAAGTAGAATATTCATAATTATGCAATGCTAATTACCCTCAACAATGGAGACTTTATGGAGCTTAAGATAACAAGGAAGAACCTGAGGACCATTAAGTGGAAGAGACCAACACAAAAAACAAAATATATAAGTCACTTATATGTGAAATCTAAAAAAGTTGATCTGACAGAAGTAGAGAGAGTAATTACAAGAGGCTGATGAGGTTCGAAGCTCGGGCATTTTTTGGTCAATAAATCAATAATTATAGGTAGATAGGAGGACTCAAGTTTGTGAAATCTATTGTATAGTATTATGATTGTAGTTAATAATGACATATTGTATTATTTAAAAAATACAAAGACTTAAGTGTCCTCACCACAAAAAAATGATAACTGTGAATGAGGTAGTGAATTTATTAATAAGCTAATGAAAAAATACTTCAATTTTATCTGACAGTTTAACAATAATATTTTAATTTTTCAAAATTAGAAAAAGGACTTCAGATAAGAAAAATGCTGAAATAAAGGGTATTATTGAAGCCCACAAGTACTCAGTTGAAACTTTCCTTATAATGCATTCTGTGAACTA